GGATTTACTGGTTTGTAGTTGATCAGTGATAAATTGGGCTTTAATTACTAACATTATTTCATTGTTATTGATGAGATTATTACTGTCATTTAGTTCATATTGATAAGTTATTGTGTTGACAGGTTTAATATTGATAGCTTGAGTTAAAAAACATGTTCCTAAACACTTTCTCCCAATTCCCCTCCCCCCCCTCTTCCCTCCCTTCCCACACGCATTAACTTATTCCACATGAAATATTAAACTCGAATCTTCCCATTCCATTCTGTTCATTTAATTTTAATTACTGATATTTGATTATCACTGATAAACTATCGGGTTTAATTGGTACTAGTTACTACTACTTAGTTACCTTCGAAAACTTATTTAGTAGTCTGTCTGCTAATTTCCAACTAATTTTGATAAAAATGTGTTTTCCCTATGCCCGGAATGACAGGAACAACAGTCCATTCGCCAGCAGTTTGGATTTCCATCTGTAAACCCAGCAGCCTTTCGTCGCCCACAGTCTCGTCTTTTACGCATTCGCACCATTCGAATTAATGGACTGGTGAAAGTTTTTTGCGGGTAATTCACTAACTCGGGAACCAGGAAAGCTAGAAAGCTAAATTTCAAGGGAATGTTTCCTGATGGTCCTGGCAGCCTGTCTCAATTCTTTTGGCTAAAGCATCTGCCAGAAAAATAAAAAGGAATGATGATAATTTGTTGTCTGTGCCTGCTATTGTAACTGAGCATTGTAAACTCAACGATGGCTTCTTTTACAGTTTTTCTAATGGCATATCTGAAAGGAAACGAGAATTTCTGCCGGTCGCTGTTGCGCTGCGGTGCATGCTTGGGCGTTATCAGTTATACGGGTGTTTCAGTGTTCAAACATAAAGCGCCAACAAAACAGCTTCTCTTCTCATTGTTAGGTGATTTTTTTTTCTTTTTTCGGTACATTTCATCGATGTTTCTCGTGATAACGAGATATTTTCGAGATGTTTTTTGGTGTGTTCGCATCACGTTTTCTTGAAAATTGCCAATTCTAAGCCACGGGACAAGGTACCATAGCGAGTAGGAGACGCTTTATCAAATACAGTCATAACCGCGTACTGAAACGGATAAAAACGAAATTTCAGATAACTTGGAGCGAGAGCCGCTATGGGCCGAGGGAGACATGTGCTCGGAGTGTGATACGAAATTTTCTTTAACTGTTCGAAAACATCATTGCAGGTACGGTTGTTTAATGACCATTTCTGATGAGAAGCGATTAAAGCACCAATCACTTTTTTTTTGGATTTCATCTCTGCATGGGACAGAAAAGTGGGAAACACAAGTAGTTGCACGGCGTATAAGTTGCAAAAAAAAAAGAAAAAAATTAACTTAACCTCTAAAAATTAGCTTAACCCCTGATACCTCTAACTTTCACGGAGGTTGAGAACATACCCTTAAAATTTCAGCTTCCAGCTTTTCCTGGTTCCCAAGTTAGCCATTTTCCCGCCAAAGATTTCACGGGGCCCTACATAAAAACCACACGCGTTTGGGGGCTGAGTTCGATAATTTTAGGTTGCACATGTGCTAGAAAAAAAAAAGGCTGTGGAATTTGTGTTTGAAATTTTAGACATTGCGGACGATTGGTATGTGCACATTGCTCAGAGCAGACTATGCCAGTACTCAAATATGGTATTGAAAAGCCAGTACGGGTGTGCCAGATATGCTGTGATATTCTCACAATGGGAACTGTGTAATTTTTACAATGAGAAAAAAAGAAAAACATTCAATGACCTCACTGAAAATGAGGGAAATATGACTACTAGCTGCAACTGAGGGAAATTGAGTACTACTAAAGCAAAAGACAGTACGGGCCTCAAAGGCCCTTCGAGGGAATGGAAGAGGGTAGTAACCAGGGCCACTAAAATTGTTTAGCATTTCAGTACCGTGCATTTTTTCCAATCTAAATTTTCTTCTATTCCATACTTACGCTACTTTTTTGGAGTACTTACTTGAAAATGCTGTAGTGATTGATGAACAGTAGTTTCTCCAGTGCTTCTTATTGCTATTTGTTTTTCCTAGCCCAAATTATTGCGTATAAAATCATTATTTTACGCATAATTTGTTGAAAATACACTGTTATATTATGTAAATAGCAAATAATGCCGTGGAAATTTGAAAAGATATTCACATCGAGCTATTATTTTTTATGCACCACATCGAGGTGACAGTAAATCGTAGCTGAATTTCTAAACAGTCTATATTGGATTTATTGCAGTTTTTGAAAAAATTTCATGCTTGCTGTCTTATTTTGAAGAACAGCTCCCAACAGGAACACACTGAGATCTAGCACCAGGATTCTTCCCACTCAATTCAAGGTCTTTTTTGCGCTTACTTGCGCAAAATACGAATGACGCTAATTTCAGGCCTAGGCTTCAGTCCGGTAATTGGCGGTGTATTTGCGCTGAAAATTTTACCAGCGCTAGTTACAGTCCTCATTTTACCACGATAAGGGTACCTCATCGACTAGGAGAAGCAAATCCATAAGTTTTTTATGTGTTTTTTTGTAGCCATGCAATGCGAAAACGCATATTGTCGAGGGGTTGTGCGTGTGTGTGTGTGTATGTGTGCGTGTGCGCGTGTGTGTGTGTGTCCGTCTGTAACGAGTTTTCATCTCGAGATCCACAAAAGCTACAAGACTGAAAATTTGGTGAGTTAATCTACACATACATGCGGGCTCGTATCCTCAAAATGGACGCTCAGGTCCGCGTCGTTTCCATGTAGGAGCATGTGAAAGTTTTTTGGCGGGAAAGCGTTTTCGGGAACGGCCCATGCTAGGAGGCTGGAATTCCGCAGAGTTGTTCCTTGGCCGCGTCTAATCGAAAGATTTCAAATGCAGCTTTCACGCACCCTCAGGACTCACGTACGCGTCAAAGTCCAAACTGGCATCGTGCCAAGCCAAATTTAAAGTGATCAATAAGCTGGAGAGAGCTGTAATTCTGCAGCGTTACTTGTCACCCACTGTTGTGTCCGTGAAAGTAAATTACTTGCCAGCTCTTCTGTGTCTCACGCACGAACACGTGAATATTTCACGCATGCGCTTTTGCAACTTTAGAATTGAACCAGCCAGTAGTCTTGAACTTTCTGAGCATAACCGATGGTGTCCTCTCACCAGATGCACGCTAAAACGACTTACACATCACTTTCACGTCTCACATACGTTTCACACGTGCGCACGTGAAGTTTGACGTAACCCCGCAACCAAAACAGCTGAAGTGCCGGAACTTTCTGAGCGTTACCCAGGGTCGTCTTTGAGTAACCGCAAGCGAAGAAAGCATTCACTTCACCATTCACGCACGAACACGTGAAACCTGACGCAACTCTGCAACCAGAGCAGTTGGGATGCTGAAACTTTCTGAGCGCTACCCAGGATCGTGTTTGACCAACCGCGGACGAAAAAAGCACTCACGTCGCCTTTCACGCACGAACATGTGAGATTTGACGTAACCCTGCAACCAGACTACTTTGAATACTGAAACTTTTTGAGCACTAGTTAGGGCCGTCTTTAAGTAACCGCAAGCGAAGAAAACACTCACTTTGTCACTCACGTACGAACACGTGAAATTTGGCGCAACTCCGCAACCGAAGCATTCAGAGCGCTGAATTTTTTGGGCATGGGTTGGAAGTCATTGTAATAATTTCTAACAGTTGTGGTGGCCAGTCATAATTCTTTTAGCTAGAAGCATCTCTGGGAATAGCGTGCCACTGGCGAAAAAAACATGCGGGGGAACTGTGCAAAAAACGCATCCCTCGTACCGGCAGCCGGTACGCTTTCGACTAGGTTTTAAGACCGGTGCAGGAATGTGAGAAGCAACTCATTTTACTTGAATGTACTGTATTTATTAATGTATCATCAGCTCAATGCATTCAAATAATTCATACACACAATAAAATTCGTCGTGAGGGTACATAACACTGGAGATATTTATGAACCAATAAAAATGTTTTATTTTACGCGAAATTCACTCAAATGCTCTGTTTCTGAGACGACCTTGTGTTCAACACAGAATGTTCACGTAGCGGCCATAAACATCGCTGAACATA